GCGCCACTGCACTCCAGCCTGGGCAATAGAGTGAGACTGTCTCAAAAAAAAAAAAAAAAAGTTTCATCATCATTGTTGATGGTAACTTTCCTGAAAACACTGTTTGTGCCGAAGATGCTGTCTCTTAATTCTTCCAAGGAAGTGAGCTTTGGGTGCTCAGGTCAATGAGTAAATGAACAGAATGGTTAGTCAGGGTCCCAGCATGAAACAAAATCTAACTCAGATGTCTCAAGAGAGTATGGAGTATAACCAAAAGACTGTTTACAGCAGCATGGTCAGGTTAGGGCACCAGGAAAAGAGGAACCTAGAGATTAACTTTGGTAGGCAGCCTTTTCCACCCTAGATCTGAGGAAGCAAAGGCAGAAGATAGTGTTACCATAGCCCACTGAGTGCTGGGGTCAGCTTGGGGAGTCACATAAGAGGAACATGTAATATAGACCCAGGAGGTCAGATACTCCTCATCGACTCTGAATTTTATTAGGAAAACAGCATCATTTGTAGGTTGCAAGTTTAAAGTTTTTACTACATCCTGTAGAGCAGCAGTGCAACCTGACAGAATATTATCTCCCTGCTGGCACTTTAACTGAGTGGGCATTGGACCATCCCATTGTCTATCATAGTAGCTGCTTCCTGAGGTGGGGTCTGGTGATAACACCAGTGAAGTCCAAGGGCATGCCTGAACCCACAGCCACACTTCTGCTGTAAAATAAGTTCCTTGGTAGAAGGTGATATTATACAGATTGTAACAGAGAAGGTTGGAAAAGGGTCTGGGGTCAAATGGAAAAAACAGTGCAATGACCTTCTTCTCAGCTCCAGCTATCCTGTCCCATGGACCCTCAGACAGCGCTGCTTGTGTCAGCCTGCAAGCCTAAAGCAGCTACTCCAGCTTTTGACCCTGACCCTTCTAATCACAGGGCTAAAACCCCACCCAAGTGGTCAAAATGACATTTCAGCTACCTCTTCCACAGACTTTACTTCTAACCCCTCTCTCTAATCCCCAAGTCTTCACCCAAATAATTAAACAATGAAATGAACTCCTCTTTAAACCAGGTATGGTGGAATATGCCTGAAGTCCCAACCACTTGGGTGGCTAAGAAAAGAGGATCTTTTGAGCCCAGGAGTTTAGAGTCCAGCCTGGGAAACATAGTGAGACCCTATCTCTAACAACAACAACAACAACAACAACAACAAAAGGTAAACTCTTCCGTGACTGCATACCAAAGCTCCTGTGCATACCAACCGAGGCAAGGAGAAGCAGTACCTGGAGAGGGTGAGGGTAGTTTTGGAACCTTAGCTCAGCCAGGGACAATGGAGCTGGGGGCGGAGGTGGCAATGCTGTATGACTTCGCTCACTAAACTCCTAAATTGCAGCCACAGACGCCTGTTACACTTGGACCCAAGCAGTCCTACATAAGCCATGAGTCACAGTGCTCATGCTGGTACCTGTTCACAGAATGTGAGTTCTCCAAGCAGCATTTCTCTTCTCTTCATTACTGATGCGATTACTAAGGGTGGAGAAAAGTCAATGGCCTGAATCTGTTTTTATCTGTCATCTGTTGTCTATCTCTGGGGCTGCCCGCTGTAGGAATGTTACTGACAGCAACATGTGATGGGCCTTCTCCATCACATCTCCAAGTGGTATCGCCATTTCAATTTCTTCCTATGTACTGGGCTTGCTCATTGCTCATCCCAAACTTCAGGTCTTAAGAATATTGCCATAGACATTTCTTTATGAGGTGATCATATATTTGGAGTATGGTAAAAATAATTAATACTAGAAGATGGATCCACAGGGGAAAGGGCAGTCAGGTATGTCTGAAACCTAAGAAAGGATTTGGCTGTTTTCCAGGGATGTAAGGATAATACCATATAGAACAGAACACCTAGGCCAAATTGTTGGTTAGGAATGCCATCTCCTTGGTTCATTTTTTTAGTGTCTTGCTATCTGCCCTGAATCTTGGAACCACTGCTCTAAAAGAGTTCTGAAAAATTTTGCCTTCAAGGTTCACCTTTACATAAAATTCACTATGGCTGAAACGAAGCTCATATTCCTTCTTGTTTCTATCTTGGGTTTTCTCTTGGATTGGTAGTGCTGAGGCTTGAAACATTTGGAGAAATGTTTGATGTTTTTCTTTCCCTTTTTTTCCCTCTCCTTCACTAAGCATGCGACAATTATTCCTTATGTCTTTTACATACATCTGTTTATTGCCAGCCCCCATGTAGGGATGTCTTGGCAGTTGTGTATGTTGGCCTGAACCTCAGGAGAAAAATCTCAGCCAGAGATATACATTTGGGGATGAAGAAGCCAAGAAGGCAACCGGGGACAGTGTAAGTAGAGCAAGAAGATAAAACCAGGCTAAAATCCTAAAGACAAAATTGTTTAAAAAATGAGCAAGAAGATTACAGAAAAAAAACACAAACTGAGAAATAGCCAAGAGGTGGTGCATGCCTGTAATTCCAGTAATTCAGGAGGCTGAAGCAGGGGGATTGCTTGAGGCCAGCAGTTTGAGACCAGCAACATAGCAAGACCCCATCTCTAAAAAACTTTTTAAAAAATTAGTTAGGCGTGGTGATGCATGCCTGCCGTTCCAGCTACTCAAAGGCTGAGATAGGAGGGTTACTTCTTGACCCCAGAAGTTAGAGACCACCCTGGGCAGCATAGCACTATCCCATCTGTTAAAAAAAAAAAAAAAAAAGAAAAAGAAAAAAGAAAAAAGAAAAAAAGAAAAAAAGAAAAGTAAAAGAAAGAGAGAAAATGGCCAAAAGATGGAGGAAATCCAAGAGAAAATGATATTGCCAAAGTCTGTCAACAGTATTACAGGTTGCAAGAGATCGCCCTGGATTTATTGATTAAGTTTTTGTTTTTGTATTTATCTTGGTGTGAATAGTACCGTGCAATGGTTCTCAAACTTTTTGGTTGTACAAATTATTGTATATCTTACAAACTATTGAAGACCTGAAAGAGCTTTTGATTATAAGAACCCCAAAGAGATTACATCTCTTATTTATCCTACTAGAAATTAAAACTGAGAAAATTTTAAACATGTTAATTTATGTAAAAACAATAATAAACCTATTACCAGTTAATAGAAATATTTATGAAAATAACCAAAACAAAAAAATTGAGAACAGTGGCAATGTTTTACATTTTAGGAAATCCCTTTAATATCTGGCTTAATATAATAGAAAACCATTAAGTTCACATATCTTGTTCTGCCTTCAATCTGTTTTGCTATTACATGTTATTAGTATATAGCCTCTGGAAAACTCCATTATATTATCATTAGAGAATGTGCATAAAAAATATTAACTATGAAAATAGTTTGATCTTGCAACCCCCCTGAAAGGTTTTCAGGAATTTCTAGGGATCTGGGGACCCCACGGCAGGAGAGCTTGACAATACTGTGAACCTCATAAATAAGGTCTTTTTGTCGTGATGAAAAGTAAGCTAGATAGACTTGACTGAAATTTCAAGGGCTATTTGATGAGAAGGGGAGGTTGTTTCATTGACATTATTCTCTAAGGTTAGGAATGGACTCTACAACATTCATTCGATTAATTCATTCAGGATACATTTATTTAGCACACATTATGTGCCAGGAAGTACTCTAGACACTGAAGACATACCAGTAGACAAAACAAAAAATCCTTGCCTTCATGAGACTTCTAATAAAGTAGTAAAATATATAGTGTATCAGAGAGTGGTTAAGTCCTATGCAGAAAAAACAATGTAAAGAGGTCTAGAGAATGCTGGAGGGATTTGCATATTTCAGTAGAATGGACAGGGAAGGCCTCTTTAAGAATGCAACAGTTGAGCAAAGACCTGAAGGAGGTGAAGCCATTTGGATATCTTTTGAAAGGGCTTTTCCAGCTATTTAACAAATTAATTTCTTAACATTTGAAATTTTATTTATATGTAGTCTTTAATCAAATATCTATTGTATATGACATTAGCTGCAGGTACAAGGAAATCAGACAAGAGAACTGAGGTTTGAGTGCCTGCCATGTACCAGGCACTGTGCTAAGTATTATGAATGAAGTTTGGTGTCTTCACTAAGATTTACAACTTAATGCAGGAGGCAAGGTGTAGACATACATTTCCTGCAGTGTGGGTGTAGCAGTTCTTATGAGAAGAGTTGGCTTGAAGTTGCACCGCCAGAAGTAATGCACTTGACCTACCTGAAGTCTAGGCCTCCATTTCAAGATGAATTAGGGTGTGGAGGGTGCTCTCCACTCTAACAGAGGGGAAGCCACCAAGTTAATACCTGATCACGCCTTTTATAGAGCGCTTTGGTTAACAATATGTCTTCACGCCGGGCGCGGTGGCTCAAGCCTGTAATCCCAGCACTTTGGGAGGCTGAGATGGGTGGATCACGAGGTCAGGAGATCGAGACCATCCTGGCTAACACGGTGAAACTCCGTCTCTACTAAAAAATACAAAAAAAAAAACCTAGCCGGGCGAGGTGGCAGGCGCCTGTAGTCCCAGCTACTCGGGAGGCTGAGGCAGGAGAATGGCGTGAACCCGGGAGGCCGAGCTTGCAGTGAGCTGAGATCCGGCCACTGCACTCCAGCCTGGGCGACAGACCGAGACTCCGTCTCAAAAAAAAAAAAAAAAAAAAAAAAATGTCTTCACAAGTTAACTCATTTAACCTTCATAACAATAAGAAGCAGATGTTCTAAGAAGTGTTACTGTGTCTCTCAGAGATGAAGAAAAGCTCAGAGTAGTATGACAGGCAGTTATAAGGTAGAGGTAGACCTAAATTTAAGATAATCTGCTTCAAGCACAGTGCTTTAACCACCGCAGTGCAGCTGTTATGAGCAGCTGCTGAAATAAAACAGCTTGATACTCTCCTGACAGTCCTCCCACTGACTCGACAGGAGGGTTAGGTTGAGGTTGGGGCGGAGCTAGACCTCATGAAGAAGCCAACGAAGTCACACACAGCTCTCCCCACCTGCGCTTGCGCAGGGGAGGAACACGCAGTCCGGAAAAACGCCGGGGATTCTGGGTTGCGCAGCCGTGGAGCTACCTCAAGGCGGAACTGGGACGCCCAGGGCTTCGGCAGCCTGAACACCCGGTGTGAAAGGAAGGTGGCAGCCGTGGAGCGATGCGCATGCGCAGCAGCTCACTCTGCTGAAGGGCTGAGAGGCGCACCGGGGCCGCCAGCTGGGGTCGGAGCGGAGCGGGGTCAGGATGGACGAGGACGTGCTGACGACCCTGAAGATCCTCATCATCGGCGAGAGTGGGGTGGGCAAGTCCAGGTGAGGCGGGCGTGCGGGTCGTGACGAGGGTGACTGGGCTCTTTCTGTCCCGGTGGCTGCTGTCTCCTGGGCCGCGACGGGAACTGTAAACTGCGGCGGCGGGCGCGGGCCGGGCTCGGGCCGGCTCCACTTGCGCCCTCCTCGGCCTCTGGGCTGCGCTCTCCCGCGGCTTCTCCTCCCCTCGCCCCACCCGCGCGGCTGGTTCCCGGCCTCTGCCAGGCCCAAGTTCTCTGAGTCGCTCTCCCTCCTGTGGCGCGGAGAAAACACCATTCGGAGGGCCGCCGCTCCGCCGGCCGGTTTGCTGCGCGGAGCTCAGGGCGTGGCGGGCTGGTTTGGGCCCGAATCTGGCCGGGGGGCGCCTTGCCTCCAACTCTTCGGGGTTCAGGCTGCCTGTCACCCCGAGACCCGGGAGACATAACTTTCCCACTTGAGGGTTTCTGTGGGGCCTTCTCTAAATACATAATATCCTCGGGAAGTTTCGTGACGCCTTAGGTCCCATTCCTGGCCTGTTTGGGCGCAGCTTAATGTCGCTTCTTTTACTTTTTTATTAGTCGGCTGTGGAAGAACTCCTGGATCTTGTGACTGCTGGAAAATTTCGCTTTAGTCTAAGGTCCGAGTGCTTCAGCCGTGGGTCACCTTTGAAAATAAAATGTAGTTGTTATTTCTCATTTTCCCACATCCTATGGAGACAGAAGATTAGTGTTGTCTTTTCATTTTTGACTTTTTTCCTTGGGGAAAATAATATTGACAGTGGAGTTGAGTATAAGGTAAGACATGGATCTGGGTGGATGTTGCTAGAGGGTTGTGATTTCATCCAGGTCTTGGAACAGAGTTCTCCAGGTGATGTCATTCTTGCCATCTGATTATGAGTAGGTTATGTTCAAGGCCGTCCTGATCCTTAAACCGCATTTACACTCCGGGGGCTGTAATCAGTTTCATATTTTAGCTATACCTTCTGATACACATATCTTTCAAATGATTTTTTATATTTCATAAATTGAAGTAGCCTTCATTCTACAAGCTAGAATGAAAGCTCTCCTCAAATAACTTGTAAAAGTCACTTCGTAAAGTCTTACTTTTTAAAAGCTTCTTCAGAATGTGAGAACTTATGTAATATATTCTGATATTATTTATTTATTTATTTATTGAGACGGAGTCTCGCTCTATTGCCAGGCTGGAGTGCAGTGGCGCCATCTCGGGTCACTGCAGCCTCCGCCTCCTGGGTTCAAGCGATTCTGGACTATAGGCCTCCCCAGTAGCTTGGACTACAGGCGGGCACCATTATGCCTAGTTAACTTTTGTACTTTTCGTAGAGATGGATTTTCACCATGTTGGCCAGGCTATGGTCTCGATCTTGACCTTGTGATCCGCCCACCTCGGCCTCCCAAAGTGCTAGGATTACTGGCATGAGCCACCAGTTTGACAACACGTTTTCATAGTGTTCCTCATGTAATGTACTCTGTGTCTACTGGAATGAAGGATTTGCACATACCAAGGAATAGAATAATGAAATACTATGAATTAGCAAACCAGCATGATTTGTCTGTGTGTGTGTAAAAGGGATGAGTAAAATTATTTACATGATCATCTATTATTGCACATGCATATTTGAGGGTTAAAAAGTTAATGTAAACATTGTCTTAATAGGAATTTCATAGCCTTGTGATCTTTCTTTTTCTTTTCTCTTTTCCTTGAGACATGGTTCTCATTTAAGTTCAATCATATGAAATTAGTGTTTTTGAAGTCAAGAATGGTTGATTGTCATTTCATGTAGTTCAACCCAATACATGGTCTGTTAGCACTTTTTCTAAATGTATTGCATGGATGACAAGTTAGGGCGTGTTAAAATTTTCTGGAAGGTTAACTGGAGTATATAAACAAAACGTCTCTGCTCTACCAACTGTTTTTTTGAGACAGGGTCTTGTTCTGTCACCCAGACTGGAGTGCAGTGGCATGATCATAGCTCACTGCAGTCTCAATCTCCTGGGCTCAAGTGATCCTCCCACCTCAGCCTTCTGAGTAGCTGGACTATAGGCACAAGTCACCATGCCTGACTGGTGTTTTTTATTTTTTATAGAGAGGAGGACTCACTGTGTTGCCCAGGCTGGTCTCGAACTCCTGAGCTCAACAGATTCTCCTGCCTTGACCTCCCAAAGTGCTAGGAACATAGGCATGAGCCACCACAACCGGCCCTACTTCTAAAATTTTTTTCATAGATGGGATTTTCCTATGTTGCCCAGGCTGGTCTCAAGCACACGGGCTCAAGCCAACCTCCTGCCTCATACTCCTAAATTGCTGGGATTACAGACACGAGCCATGACACCCAACCAAGGTTCTCCTTGTAGAATAAGGCCTGTTAAGTGGATTTATCAGTCTCCCTAGTTCATGTCACGGAAACACATTTACCATGGGCCTAATCTGTTTTAAACTTTTTCCTCAATACGTGGCAATGGATTATCAACTGCTCCCAGCAAGATTTTGACACTTTGTTTCTTTCGTGAAAGGATTACATATAGTGAGAAAGTTGTCTTATTTGTCTAGCTGGATATACATTATTTGCCTATGTGATATGCTATGGAAAGCAATCTTGAACACTTATGTTTCTGGATAAGATGAGAATAAATGACTCTACCAAAATAGAAGTCTCTGCCTTTTAAAGTGAATTAGTACAAAAACGTTTGTCATGGATATGATCTTAAAGGATTGTTTTAACCAAGTTGGTTTCTGTTTCATTACAGAGCTGGAGCTAGTGGAAGTGAGATAGCACTTGTGTTGTTGGGGGAAAACAAAGGATATGTTTAATCCGAATTAGTGGATTACTTTCTAGTGTATTTCATAGTGTGAGAGTCTAAAGGGTATGTGATAGTAGTCAGGAGATCACGATTATGAAACTGGGGCTGCCACTTGTGTGACCTTGTGTGTAATACTTGAATGCTGTAGGCCTTCATTTCAAAAGTGAGGGGGTTGGAATAGAAACCTCTCAGACCCTAAATGTATAAGACTAGGATTCTGTGGCTAGGCCTGGTGAGGGAAAGAGTAGCAGAACATATTGAGAACTGAAAGGGATTAGAGAGACCTATTATCTAAATTGCTGTCCCTCCTATGCCCCTTGCCTTCCCATTTTGTTTTTTTTTTTGGTGAATTTCATTTGTAAATTTAAAAAATGCAGATTAGTCATAATCACACTGTTTATTATAAATTTGGTCGCATCTAGGTGCCATGGCGATAGTTACTCCTTCCATCTCTACTTCTGCATGGGAAACATTTTGCTCTTTTAACTTTGAAAATATGAGTGTGTAAATATACAATACTATAAGAATGGTGCTTCTGCCAGGTGCAGTGGCTCTTTCTATAATCCTAGCTACTCAGGAGGCTGAGACAGGAGGATCTCTTGAGGCCAGGAGTTCGAGACCAGCTTGGGCAACATAACGAGACCATGCCTCTAAAAAAATAAAAATAAAAAAATAAGCCAGCCGTGGTGATGCACACCTGTCATGCCAGTTACTTGGGGGTCTAAGGTGGGAGGATTAGTGAGCTGCAGTTGTGCTACTGCATTCCAGCCTGGGTGACCTGTCTCTAAAAAAAAAAAAAAAAAAAAAAGGGCTTCTTAATTATTTTGAGATTGTCAGTTCCTCTCAATATCTAATAGAGAAATGAACTCTCTTCCCCCTTTCAAAGTCTAATAGAGAAATGGACTCTCTGCCTAGAAAAAGACATACATAGAATTTAGAATGCTTTTTGGGCTACCGGGATACCCCTCTCTAAGATCTGATGTATACCCTGAGCCTGTATTAAAATTTGTTGCTTCACACCATGCCACCAATTCTCTGCCTCTCCTGATGAAGTACTGTTAATAACAAAGGCCTTTTAAGGATTAGCAATTATGAGAGAAAAACCTCTGACTTTGTGTCTGCACATTGCCATGTGTTCAGTAAATAATACCCAATATCATCATTATTGTATTATTATGATATTATTACAACTAGTCTACAAGGTAATGTTAACTTAAGTTTTTGTAGTAATATTTTCTGTGGTGACCACATGTAGATATTATGTATCTTTTCTTAAATTATGGTTAACTGAGTATGTTGGGAGAAAAGAAAAATTTTATAGGTAGTCTTTAAGAGTCTTACTAGTATTGTTACCTACGTTCCAAGTAAGTAAATATAGTCAAGATGTTAGGTGGATAAATCTAGAATTTGACTCTTCTGTTTTACTTTGATTTTGTGATGCTGGTTTTATGGTAAACACAAGAAAACAAAACCAGTAAGGGAGAGTTAATCCTTCAAATATAATTAATGACAGTGGGTTTGGAAACTACCAGGAGGCCATTATATTTTGCAAAAACTCTATGGACAAAACATACCTCTACCAGCAATAATCACAACCTATAGAAAGTCATAAGATTTTTCTATAATTTAGATACCTGATGGCTGTTTCTTTGATTTTATTCATGCAAACAGGTCAATTAGGATAGTCTTATACTTCAGAAGTTAACATGAGGGAAGGTTGGATGACTTTAAAATCAAGGGCTTTAACAAAAGCTTAGATTTCATTTTTGAAAAGCTTCTAATAACTGACACTTCTGCTTCGTAGTAAGTAAAATAATTCTGGAAGATGTAAAATCTTAGAGTACCCTTCTAATCTGGCATCTTTAGCTTTTTATCCCTTTTTATCCCTACGCGTCTTTGTCTTTTATCCCTCCTTTCTGGTTTCTTATCATTTCCTAGGTTTAGTCCTTCGTTCTCTCTTGCCATAACCTTGGCAGTTGTCTTCCGTTGATTTTCTTCTATTTTTTGTTAGTATTAACATTTTAAAACAAAGAGCAGTACTTGTCATAACTTCTTTAAAAGCCTCCAGTAGCCTCCAGTTGCCTACTTGGTTTTATACACTCTACCTGGTGTTTGCCCGAGTCTACCTACTCTGTCGTGTGATCTTTCTTTTTACCTCTCTTTTTACTATATCTTCTCTTAGGTAGTAGCCATACTGCGTGTTACAGAATGCTCGGCTTTGATATGTTTCTGGTTTTGCTTGAATTCAGAGTGGATTACACAATCAGATTTTTAAAAGCTAGTTTGTTGCATTCTAAGGGACTTTATTTTTTCCCTTTTCATCTATGTCAGTTAAAGCATGACATGCTGTTAGTGTCATTTTTCTCAGAAGGACATACCAGAACAGTTAAACAACAACAACAACAACAAAAACCCCCACCTTTTGTACTTGGGGGATTGTGTAGGAGACCATGGGGAATATATTTAATAGTAAACTACTTTGCTCTTGGGATTTTTAAATTGCCTTTCTAGTAATTTAATTTTTCTGTGTATACCTGCTCTAGTAATTTAATTTTTCTGTGTATACCTGCTCTAAGAGAAGGCCTACATCATTTATTATCTGCATCTAATAATGTGTGACCAAATAGTCATGAACACATTTATCATATGATGAGAAAATTCAAGTTCCCAACCTGTCTTTTTAATATCTCTTTCAGCCTGCTCTTGAGGTTCACAGATGATACATTTGATCCAGAACTTGCAGCAACAATAGGTAAGCCTGTGTTTAAAAATTCTATAGAAATGGCCAGTATTTTCTTGCCTTTGGCCTTTTTAATCTAAATCCTTCTACCTTCTTCTCACCACCCCACTGCCTCCATGTCTGTTGAAATCTTATTTGTCCTTCAAGACTTATTTTGGTATCATTAAATCTCTGAAGCTTTTCTAGATCTTACCAAGAGAAAATAACTTCCTTATCTGTTGTCTCATGGCACTTTATTAAAACTGCTAATGTAATTTTCTGTACGCACATTTCTTTCCTATACTTTGGATTGTCTTTTATTTTGTAATATACAACAGTTATATTTGAATACTTATTGTATGCCAGGGAAACTTGGTCTCCGTCATTATGGACCTAACAGAGTGTGTTAATTTTGTATGTTCAGCATTTGCTACAGTGTTTGGCATGTATTCTTATCTTTACATATGTATTGATACTAGTTATTAAGGATTGTTAGGAGCAATGATACTTAAATGCCTTTTAAGGATAAAATTTAGATTGCCTGAAAGTGGTTAGTCACACTAACTTATGAGAATATATGAGAAGATAGAGGTAAGTATTTTGGTATCATGTGTTTAGACTGTAGATAACGTAAAAGGATGAAGAGACCACTTGGAATAGTTGAAAGGTAGCTGAGCTGAGTCAGAGCTAGATAATAGTCTTGGTTGGCTTTGCCTTGAATTATGTGTAATCTTGATGAAGTCACTTGACTTACTAACTTCATCTGTAAATTGGAAGGATTTGGGGAGAGAGAATACTTTTTTTTCCAGCTTTAAAATTTCATGATCTGATGAGGAGAATATAGTAAAGATGATCCTAGCATTATTGTCAGGGAAAATAAAGAGTTTTTCTTAACTGCCTTTGTTTTCATTTATTGTATGTCTATTTTTAAAATTTTTTTTTTTTTTTTTTTTTGAGACGGAGTCTCACGCTGTTGCCCAGGCTGGAGTGCAGTGGCGCGATCTCGGCTCACTGCAAGCTCCGCCTCCCGGGTTCCCGCCATTCTCCTGCCTCAGCCTCCTGAGTAGCTGGGACTACAGGCGCCCGCCACCGCGCCCGGCTAATTTTTTGTATTTTTAGTAGAGACGGGGTTTCACAGTGGTCTCGATCTCCTGACCTTGTGATCCGCCCGCCTCGGCCTCCCAAAGTGCTGGGATTACAGGCTTGAGCCACCGCGCCCGGCCTATTTTTAAAATTTTATTGTGAAACAATTTCAGACCACAGATTTGTAAAAATAGCACAAATAATTCATGTGTATCCTATTAAATTACTCTAAATGTTAATGTTTGTCACATTTGCTTTATCGTTCTCTCTCTACATATACACAGTATTCTTTTTTAAAAAAATGAATTGAGAGTAGTTTGTAGACATATGTCTTCAATGTCTGCATACTTTAATGTGTATTTCTTAAATGAACATAGATACATTTTATTGTCTATTAACAGATTTTATCAGTTATTCCATTAATGTCTCATATAGCAAAAGACAAATAATTGTTTTGGGTCCAGGATCATATGTTGAATTTAGTTATTTCTGTTTAGTCTCTTTTATTTTATTTAATTAATGAATTAATTTATTTTTGAGACAGAGTCTTGCTCTGTCACTCAGGCTGGAGTGCAGTGGCACCATCTCAGCTCAGTGCAACCTCCACTTTCCAGGTTCCAGTGATCCTCCTGCCTCAGCCACCTGAGTAGCTGGGACTACAGGCGCATGCCACCACGCCTGGCTAATTTTTCTTTGTATTTTTGGTAGAGACAGGGTTTGCCATGTTGGCCAACCTGGTCTTGAGCTCCTGACCTCAAGTAATCTACCCATCTCAGCCTCCCAAAGTACTGGGATTACAGCTTTGAGCCACCGTGTCGAGCCTCTTCAGCCTCTTTAATCAATAATTCATCAGTCTTCATTTGCCTTTTCAGGGCCTTGACATTTTTGAAGAGTAAATAATTATTTTGTAGAATGTCTCTCAATTTGTGTATGTCCGGTGTGTCCTTACAGTTAGATTCAGATTATGCAGTTTTGGCAGGAATCCCACAGAAGTGTTTTCCAGAGGATAGTGTTAGGAGGCACATTGTGTCTATTTATCCCATTTACTAGTGGTGGGACTTTGGTTACTTAAGGTGATATATGCCAGCTTACTCCTCTGTGAAGTTATTATTTTTCCCTTCATAACTAATATATATATTTATTGTAGAGAGATACATTGAGACTATATAGGTATCCTCCTTCTTACACCTTTTGCCCTCTTGTTGTAGCATCCATTGATAATTCTTGCCTGTGACAAGTGATAAGGACAGTATATGATCTTGTCATTCCAACTGTGATTGTTATCAAATGGGGATTTTTAAAAAAATGCCATCACTCTGTCTACATATCTTGTTTGGAATTCTGTAAGTAAGAGCTCTTTCTTTTTTTTCTTTTTTTATGAGGCAGTGTTTCGCTGTGTTGCCCAGGCTGGCCTCAGACTCCTGGGCTCAAGCGATCCTCCTGCCTCAGCCTCCCAAGTAGGTGGAACCACAGCCATGCACCACCATGCCCAGCTCAGGAGGAGCTCATGTTTGTTTGTTTCTTTTTCTTCATATGAACTCATGGTGCCTGTAAATTTTCAATAAATTAGGCATTACTTAGCTTTTGCATGATATTAACATTTACAGATTTACTGTTATTTGTGTCATAGGAAAGGGAATCATTTAAAACACTAATTCAAAATCCATTGTAATTTGGCTTTATTATTATTATTTAATTAATTAATTTTTTTTTTTTTGAGACAGAGTCTTGCTCTGTTGCTCAGGCTGGAATGAAGTGGCACAACCTTGACTCACTGCAGCCTCTACCTCTGTTCAAGTGATTCTGGTGCCTCAGCTTCCTGAGTAGCCAAGACTACAGGCATGCACCACCACACCTGGCTAATTGTATTTTTAGTAGAGACAGGTTTTGCTATGTTGGCCAGGCTGGTCTTGAACTCCTGGCCTCAAGTGATCCACCCACCTTGGGCCTCCCAAAGTGTTGAGATTATGGGTGTGAGCCACTGTGCCCAGACTGGTGTATTATTTACTCCTATAAAAATTACTTAGTAGTAAAACCTTATTTTGGTCAAAACCTGTCTGAGTACATATTGGTAATGGCTAGCCAGGAGGAGAGCAGTAGCAACTGGCAGAAAAATAAACTTGCCTAAAGTTAAAATTTTACTGAAGGAATGAACATACATATAATATTAACTGTCTACATTACAAACTCAAATGGAATTTGGGGACTAGTAGCATGCCAAATCGTGGGTTGTCTTTATTACTAAAAAGGCTTTGTCTTCTGCAAAGACAAATATTAAGATTATAGTATGCTGGTGAAAATATATATAATTTGTTCCCCAAATAGGCCCTGGATCTTGAATATGTTGAACAAAGTATCTTTTACATTGAAGCATCAGATTACTTTCTGCCTTAGGTAATAACATGTATATATATGTGTATATATATACATTTTTTGTTTTTGTTTTTTTTTTTTTGTTTTTTTTGAGATGAGAGTCTCTCTGTGTTGCCCAGGCCGGAGTGCAGTAGTGCATGATCTCAGCTCACTGCAGTCTCCAACTCCCAGGTTCAAGTGATGCTCCTGCCTCAGCCTCCCAAGAAGCTGGGATTGCAGGCGAGTGCCACCATGCCTTGCTAATTTTTATATTTTTAGTAGAGATGGGGTTTCAGTATATTGGCCAGGCTGGTCTTGAACTCCTGACCTCAAACGATGCACCTGCCTCAGCCTCCCAAAGTGCTAGGATTACAGGTGTGAGCCACCACGCCCAGCCCACACATGAGTTTTTAAAATAAAAACAATTACTTAATGACCTTGTGAAAATTAGTGTTTTATGCAAAATTGGTGTTTTACCCCACAGTAAAATAGTAGTAAGGAAAGTGTATTGTTACCTTTTAATAACTTAGTGAGACACTTAAGTTTCCGTCTTGTATAAAATACTCTTTTAAGATAGTTGTTGGATTTGCAATTGCAGATGGTACTATAAAGTTAGCATTTTTCTTTGTTGGCAATTAGCTAAAAACAACAAAGAGAGGGAAAAACTGACACACAAACCCAGCATTCCACTAAACTAGAAGACAGTTAAAAACCCCAAGCCACAAAATAGGTGGAATTGTTGCCAGGAGCAGTGGCGATCAGGCTGGCTGCATGTGGGAAGAAGTAGATAGAATGCCATGGCTGTGGAGCTCAGAGACAGCAAGAAACATGAAACTGCAAGGCCCCCCTGAGGTATAAAACCTAAACCCCTTGTTTACAAAAGTGAAATGGGTTTCTTCAGCTCAAGGCAGGAGCTTTCCTACACCTAGTTTGATTCTAAGAAGTCAGGGAAATGAAGCCAAACGGGGAGTCACATAAACAAACCATTTTTGCAGGAAGTAATATGTGTCTATCTCTACAGCAGTTGGGGAGGAGATGACTGCATTGTGAAAAACCTCCAGACTGCCTGTCTGCACTGGCTGTTGAGAAGTAAAACGCTAAACTGTCTCTTAGGTAAATCTCTGAATCACGAAAAGGTTGTCAGTCCAGAACTGGAGGCACTCTGGCCTTCTGCATGAACCTCTTACAAATATCAGGTTCCGTACAACCAGCACTTCTTCAAAGATGAATAACCAAAAGGAATTCATTAAGCTTGACTGCCACAAATGTTTGGAAATCAGAAAGGAAGAAAGAAACAGAAAAACAAAGGACAAATGAAGAACAGTAACCTAAAATATTGCCATAAAGAAGATGAACATTGTGACCAAACATTTTGCCATGAGTTTAGAAAGCTTAATGAAGTATTTACTTCATTAGCAGCTCAAAGCAGTTGATATAAGAGGCCAGGGAAGAAATAGAGTGAGTGCATGAGAAAATGCAAGGTAAGCTGATTGAGTGGAAAGAAAAATAAATGAAATTAGAAAATAAAACCTTTACTGAAATGAAGATGAAATTGAAAGGATCACGTAGATAATAGAGAACAGTGGAAGATACAATAA